CCCCCCCCCCCCCCCCCCCGTGCCTCGTGCGCCAGCGTATGCCGCTTGGTGCTTGTCGATGGTCCCCCGAACCCGCCCCCCGCTCCCTGAACCCACACCACGCTGTATGGCCGCACGTGCAGGAACAACAACGCCTACGAGGTGAACTCCGTTTCGCCGCTGGCGCTACAGTACGGCGACAGCTCGGTTCTAGAGCGCCATCACGTGTTCGTGACGTACCAGGTACGAGCGTCATTCGCTGTCGTGGCGGAGCATTACAGCTGCAACGCTTGGGGAAATGCTATTGGACGGTGTAGCCGTTGTGTGACTGATGAATAGGACTTTGATTTGATGCCTCTCGGTTCTGTGCACATCTTGGAATACAAATGTAGACTGCTCGTTGTTGCATGATTGAGTGCGTCGAGTGATGCGTGCAAGAAAGCGCGCGTGCTGCGTCCCGACTGACACCCGAAATATTTTTGTATTAACCGCAGGTGCTGCTGGAGGAAGGCGGGGCGAACAACATCTTCTCGGGGCTGACTCGCATCCAGTTCCGAGACGTCCGCCAGACCATCGTGCAGGCCATCCTCGGCACAGACATGTCCGGCCACATGCAGCACTGCGCGGACGTCTTCCAGTTCGCGCTCAAGGCGAGGAGGCTGGCAGCGGACGGCGGAGAAGGGCAAGACGGGCTGCTGAGGGTTCCGCAAAAAAAATCCCAAGCCCGAGGAGGAGGCATCGGCGCAGACCGCGCGGCGAAGAGCCACACCCGCCCGAAAGCGGCGGCCGCCTGTGACACGTCAGGGCTTTCCGAGGGTATGGAAGGGGCACGCGGCGAGGGTGTGGTGTCGTTGGCGCTGGCGCCGGTGCCCCTGTCGGTGTTGCCGTCGCCACCGCCGGAGCATATATTTAGCGTGGACAAGGCCGAGGACCGATTGTTCCTCACCAAGACCATCCTTCACTGGTGCGTGTTTCGTTTTGAGGCTTCATTTGCTGCAGAATGTAGAGCGAAGAGGTGTCAATGGTTTTTGCCTTGGCATGTTGCGTGCGATTGCCCCCGGGTTTTGTCTCCTGGCGCTCTCACCACCTACCTACCAGGAAGCAGGTGTACCTGGTACAAATCTCTGTGTGTGACATGGTAGGTCTCCCGGACGGGCTTTTCCCGCCCATCAACATGATGCTCTCGCCCCGGTTCCGACGCAGACAAGAAGTCGGACATGCGCTTGCACTTACGTTACATGTATTGGTATTGCATTGCTGTGACAAGATTTAGCGCGTTATGGGATCTGGGCAGTATAGCCTGAACGAACAAAATTGCATGTTATGCTGCAGGAAGGGAAAGCGTAAGCTGTGTATTTCTTGCCGTTTCAAGCAAGAACATCAAGAAGAGCCCCCTCCACCCCGGGGCGTCCTTTGAATGCCCACCGCTGCTGATGCAGGATGAAGCGCACCCTCCATGCGACTCTCCGGATACCTCACGCCGCTTCGCGCTTGGTGATGTGCTAGTCTGGTCCAGTGAAAACCCGGCGTGCTCCTTCCTGGCTTCGTAGGGATGCGAGGTCAATGTTCTAATAACTACATATGCACAGCTATGTGTACTCCCCCCGCATGCGCGGTTATGAGTACACCTCCCCCCGCTGCTGATGTTTTGCGGTGGAATCCTCGATGTTCGCCCTCCGGCCTGCCTGCTTGCCTGTCTGCCGGCTTGCCTCTGCCCGCAGCGCCGACCTTTCAGGGCAGTTACTGGACAACCACCTGGCCCTGGAGTGGGGAAGGAGGATCCTGGAAGAGTTCCGATTGCAGGCCAGGCTCGAGGCTAACACGGGCTTGCCCCGAACAACGGTGGCCAGCGGAGACCTGGAGACCACGATAAAGGGGCAGCGCTTCTTTGCAGAAAAGGTACGCTTGCCCCGGGGTTTCGTTTTGTGCTCACCACACGAACGAACGAGCAGGGTCGGGGTGGGCGAAGAACGTCATGCATTGATGGCTTGATCGCTCACCCGAGGCTGCGTCGGATGTACACGAGCGCTTGTTCTCCCTTGTCTGTTCTTGTTGATCCAATGGTAGTGGCATCCTTTCCGTTCCGCTCTGCTTGGTCAATAGTTGCGGCACCTTTTTGTTACCCTCCGCTGGATACAGCGTTCTGCTGCCTCACATGCCACCTACCCACACCAACTGCATGGAACAGCAGCAGTAGTGGTGTTTCTTTCACCAGTCGGTCGAGTCTTTTCAAGCGGTGTGTAAGCTTGCGCTCGACGGCGAACGCGTGGCTAGCGATTTTGTCCACAGGGACTTGCAGCGAGCATCTGCCGGGCAGAGAGGGGTAGCCACACCGAATCAACCATGCCATGGGTCAGTGTGCTCTATCTATCCTTGTGCATTTTCCCAGTCCTTTGGTTGCTTTGACGGTTCCACGGCCAGCAAAGGGTCGTGAGGAGCGTAACCTTGGTCACATCCGGCGGTCCGCGGCGGTGAAAAACACCCAGCCTGTCACCTTTGATAAGTACATCAGAAACCTTCCTCTGCCATGCGCCTGTGGTCTCCCCCCCCCTATGCCCCGACCTGTCGAGAGGACTCGTGGTCAAAAACAAACAGCCAAGGCATTTTGTACGCCCCCCTCCCCCTTCGCCTGCATCAACCTTCATACCCGTAACCCGTACCGCAGATCGTGAAGCCTCTGTGGGAGCCTTTCGTCGCGCTATTTCCCGAGCTCAAGCCCCTCCTCAAGGGCCTCAACAGGAACTGCGAGTACTACCGTCAGGAGGGATTGCGGCTTGAGCAGCAACGACTTTCAGCCGCCTCCGGCTCCCGACGCCCGCAACAGAATGGACAGGAAGGAGGAGGAAGCAGTACAAGCGGCGACAAGAACGGCGTTCACGGCGACAATGACGTCGGCGCCGACGCGGGCGTCGGCAAGGAAGCCGCCGCAATGGCCTGCGGGCGAGAGCGACAGGCCAACCCCAACGACGGTGGCGGTGGTTAAGCGTCAACATGTACAGTCAGCCCACTCACTCGCCCAGAAACACCGGGGCAGATCAGGTGCGCGACGAGCGGCTGCAGTCTTGGGGGCGGCGAGCGGGGGGACGAGGGGATCGGGACGATCAGGTGTTTCAGAGGCGTCGGAGGAGGCATGGATAGACTGGTGTAATGGCGGATAGTTTGATGGTCTTGGCCGCTTACCACCGTGTTGAGAAGTGATGCCCTGTTTGAAAAGTTCGCCCTGGTTTATTGGAGAACGACCGCGGGTTTCCATCTGTATCGAGAGGATGACTTTGAGCATGCGGGGCAACCCGAGGCTGTTCCGTCACCGGTACAAGAAACGTATGTAAGCCGAAGTGGTGGGATGTAAATGTTGTGAAAAGCTCAACGTTGGTCTCAAGCCGAAGTCGTGGAATGTAAATGTTAAAAGCTCAACGTTGCTCTCCAAGAAAGACTCGGGAAGGATTTATGTTTTGTGCAGAGAAACAGGTTGTCACAAGAATGGCTCGTCGCTAGGGTAAGTACAGCGCAGAATCGAACCCTACAGCATACTCCACACTTTCGGCGTGACTTGCAGGTGTCCGCTTGCGATGGCATGCGCGACGTGTTGAGCATGTGTTCGCTCGTACGTCTAGCATACATTGAACAAGGCAAGTCTTGTAGATACCAAGAGGCACGTACCCACAGCCAACGTACAACAGCTGTGTGTACGAAGTCGATGTGTTGATAAGGTATCGTTAAACAGTGCTAACAATAGAGCTTACTTTACGCTGACGCGGTGTACGCGCCGCCTACCTTAGAAGTCAAAGGCTCAGCTGGCGTTTTTGTATTGTTTGCGTCACGAGATTCATGTCCTTTTTCTTTCGTTCTCTCGGGAAGAAATTGTCGTATCGTTACGTGCCGTCGTCATAAAGAAAATATTGTGTTGCGTGTCGTGGTCGCAGCAGGTGGCCCCGCCCAGCAGCTGGAATGTCATCTTGCATGAAGCTGTCTTGTACTACAGAAAATGTTCTGGTGTATGGCGTTGGTTCGATTATTGCAGATGGCAGAACATTAAATCAATACGTACGGCGAGCTTGGTTTATGGTAGCCTAGAGGATGGGTTTGGTGTGGGTATGGCTGTGGTGGTTATGGTCGTACGCGGGAGTAGCACAGGAGTGTAGACTAGTCGTTTCGGCGAGACGATCAAAGAACGGGCAAGGGTTGCTTTGCGCATGAAGTAATCAGAGTTTTGTAAGAAAGGGGAAATGGTACGACTCAGCTAGGGTAAACATGAGTATGTGAGCGTCATTCACCCCATTCAGTCAGGTCGGCGTTATTACCTCGTCAGGAATGGGACGAGAAGTTTTTTTTGGTGGGATCGTCACAGCAGCTAGCTTCCTCTGTCCCATAGTCTAAGTCTGTAGCTTTACGTGTGAACAAGCACGTAACCGTGTCTGATGCCTCTCCGTGGCTGCAGCAGAGGCTGTGAACGGGGCCGCCACTGCTGGTCATGGATCGTTGTTTCTGGAGTGGGGGTGCTTGCACAGCAGAATTCTGGCAGTGTGAGCGCGCAAAAGAAGAAGACCAAATGGAGCACCACGCGCCTGCAAAAGAAACACCACGGCAAGAAAACGCGCTTGAAACCACAGCCAGCCGATGCCTTACAGAAGAAAGCGCACCCACTTTTTGTTTGTGGAACGTACGAACGAGCACACGCGAGCACGTTTGCGTGGCAATATTTTGGCAATATTCAATGTTGCTCACCCCGCGCGCTCAAATGACATGAGTGTGACAGCGACTTGTTAAGACTACAAGGGTCTCGGCGGCGCCCGCCGCCACGCTTTCGAGGAGCGATTCCAAGTTACTTGTTTTTGTCCTGAACACACGTTTTTGTGCTTGAGACACGACTGATGAGACGTGGGCATCGAGGAAATGATGTTTGTGTCACGTGCTTTTCCTGACGGCATTCATGTGTTTTGGCACGACCGGCTGAATGCATACAATGTCGCAGCTTTTCACCGGTCCCGAGAGGAACTATTTATCACGTGATGTTTGCGTGTGATGTGCTTTTCCCAATGTTGGTGAAATGAGTGAGTTTCTAACGTTAATCACGGCCAAAACAAATGAACAAGAACCTCGAACCGACCGACAATCTGATTGACGGGCTATGCCAGGGACACCCTCAGCAACAAACAAATCGTCAAAAGTTACGGAACGACGGGTGGCTACACAACAACAGTAATAAATTTACCCCGAATTGGGCGCAGCAGGGTTGGGGACGCCGAGGCAAGGGATCCCGGGAGTGATTTCCACTAGGTAGGCAGTAGGGAGATGCCAGTGATTGCACGGAAATCTCACAGCCGTTCTTGGCGTAATTCGCGCACCCGCCGAAGGTCGCGCAGCAACGGGTTAAGTCGACCCCGTCGGACTTTGTTTACACACTTCCTGAGGACTTCGCCAATTACGTTGTCGGAAGTTTTGCGCTTGGCGCTACTGCCAGGAGAGAGAGGCATAACCGTCTGAAAGATGTTTGTTGCGCCTTTCCGACATCTACGAAAGAAGAGAAGAGCAGTAGAGATACTCAACAAAGGCTGGGTAAGAGTGTGATGTGGGAGAGCTTGAGGAGTGAGGAGCGTGAGCGTGCAACCGAACGTGTGGGGGCGGCGTCGAGAAGCCGCGTCACCCATGGTTGTCATATCTTGGGGGTTGATATCTTGCGATAGCACAGGCGACGACGACTCAAGATCGAATAAACTCCGCTTCTCCGTCCCTTCCTGTGTGTGTTTTTATTATCAGTTCCTGTGTGTGTTTTTTTTATTATTATTACTATTAATTAGCATCGACCGCCGCTAACCGGCTGACCAATGAAAAGACGTCACTCTTGTTGTTGTTGTTGTTGTTGACTTCACATTAAACCGTATGCCAGTTGCTAAATGCCAAAATCTAGCAAAGACTCTCGGCCCGTGGTCACGAAAGTGCTAGAGCCATCTGAGGATCTAAAGAACACGCACACGTAGCAAGAAAAAGGTGTACAAGAGCCCGAAGAGGTACTACTACACCTA